CTTCCCCTTCCCCAGCTAATTTCCCGCTTCGGCCCGTATAAGAATCCCCGAGGAAAATAAACTTTGGCAGCTTGATCAGTTCTTTGTCTTGCTGTCATTCTTTGTGTCTCTTGTCCCATCATTCCAGGTCCCTCGGAGTTCGAGTCTCCATCTCCTGCCCTGCTGGCCGGGGCATCTAACTATGTAATACCTACAGTACCAACTACATAATACCTACAGCTCCAATCATGTGATACCTACAACACCAACCATGCAATACTTACAACACCAACTGTGTAATACCGACAGCACACACAGTGTCCCTGTTTCCTACAACATCCTGATTGTAAGTTTGAGCTGTCTCACTGTAGTTAATACCAATGGGTGCATCTCAAATCCAGACCCACTAGGGAAGGAGGGATGTGGGGGGGGCAAGAGAAGAGAGAGAGGCCAGTTCTAGGATCTATTTAACTATATGAAACCTTGGCCTTTATATTTTCGTCCATATCTCAATTATTTTAATTTACATTCCTTACTTTCAAAGATTTCCAAGGTGCCAGGTACCCACCAGGGAGGTAATCTCAGTAAAAATTACAATCAAAATGGATTCTTAGGAGACCATCTACATTTTCTACAACCTCAAAATTGACCATGAAGATACTCTTTCCTTTCTCCAGGAGGAGGGTGGTGGTGTCTCCAAGCCAAAGACAGCAGCTCCCCAAAGTTCCCACCAAGGAACAGTAGTTTACACCACAGGCTCACTCAGCAAATGAACTAAGTTGAGACTCTGGAGCCCCCCAGCAGTGCTCCATGGGTCTGAACAGGCCTCAGATCTGTACCTGTATTAAGTTCACAGGTACTGCTGTTGCTCTCCGGACCACACTTACAGAACACTGGTCCACACCAGGATGCTTCAGGAAAGACCAGTGAGCTCCTGTTCTTAGACTGCAATAAAATGCTCTCAGAACTTCTCAGATCTTTCAAAAACTTGCCATGTGCTAGACAGATGACTTGATGGTTAAGAATGCAAACTGCTCTTACAGAAGACACAAGTTCAGTTCCCAGCACCTGCATCAGACAGCCCATAACCTCCTGTAACTCCAGCTCCAAGAGATCAGCTGCCTCTGGCCTTCATGGACACCTGAACTCATGGGCACACATGGGCACAGACTCACACAACAACATACACACATACACATAATTTAAAGTTTAGAATATATTAAAATACACCACATGCGATTGTCAGGTACTGAGGAGGCAGCCTCATGTACATTTTAGTTTGGTATTCTTCCACAGTCAGTTTGAACTATAAACAACGCAATTCATTCATTCTAGCATGTGAAACACGCACCCCACCAGCACAAGAACACTTCCAAATACCAGAAAGAAATAACTATGTCACATGCCTGTTGTGTTTCTGGCACTGCGCCCTGCTCTTCCTTATTTTCCCGGTAGCTGAAAGAGGAAAACAAAACACGGAGAACTTGATTCTTCCAAAGTCACAGAGCACAGCTGGTGAGTAGAAGATACAGGGTTCGAATCCAAGCAGACTGTCCTGAGGACCCAGCGTTCAAGCTTTACGCAGCTTTGTGCCACTTCAGCATCTCTTTGAGAAAGTAGAGACCACCATAATTGCATTACTAGATCATCAGTGTAAATAATTAGAAACCGTTTTGTTTGTGGCAAGAAAGGCTGGCCACCGTGCCTTTTAAAAAAAAAAAAAAACCTTCGTGTGTGTGTGTGTGTGTGTGTGTGTGTGTGTGTGTGTGTATGTGTACAGCATGCGTGTAGAAATCAGAGGACAACTTTCAGGAACTGATCTCTCTTTCTACCATGTGGGTCCTGGGGATCGAACTTAGGCCCTTAGGCCTGGAGGCAAGTCCATTTTCCCACTGAGCTATCCTTCCAGCCCCATTGTGGCTTTTATAATGAATGTTTATTGATAATTTTTATAATCTAGAAATTACCATTAATAGAATACTCTTGCATCTTTTGAACCAGATAAAAAATAATCTATGATAGTATTGTCTTAGTACAGCAATGGCATTTGGCGTCTTTTAAAAATTGCCTTATAGCTTGACTTTCACAGTGACCAAACCAGTCCTAATGCGTCATTTTTAAGGAAGACGTGTAGTTGTGCCCCTCTATGCTAAACACAAATGGAGAAAAAAAATGTTCTCTTAGCAAAGTCCTGAATGGGAGGAACTAGTGGTCTCTGATGTGAGGGCTCCAAAGGGCCTGCACCAAGCCCCAGTCATCTTCTCACTTCCTTCCCATCAATTATTTATCGTAATGGTAAGTGTGGCACTTGCAGAGCCTTCGAATACAAATGACGCCATATAGAGAACTCTCTCCACCCTCCTTCTAGCAAGAATACCACAGTGGTGCGTACACAGGGTTCAAGTTCTCCTCGGACTTCATCTTTCACTCCCACTGAGAAAGTCTGAGATTTGCTTTGCTGAGGGCATTCCTAGGTTTTCTAATTGCCACACATTTGAAATTTGAACAGATGGGTAAAAATAGGCAAAATGGCGAAATTCATGGAAGTCTTAACTTACTGGTCCTCTGGTGTCCTGCTCCAAAGAGCAGAGGCACAGGTGAGCACAGGCAACAGATGGTGCTATTTGCCAAGAAAGTTCTAGAACAAAGGGGCAGACAAGGGGCCCCTAAGAGGTCTAGAACCCTGCTTTCTTCACAGGAGTCAAAAATAGCACCAATTGGAATGCACGATAAGAAGAAACAATCTATTCCAAACTTTAGAGAATGGTCAAAATGGAGTCATGATCTTGAAAGGAAATTCTTCCCGCTCTGGGGAGATTTTGACTGCCTTACACTCCTGTTGCGGTAGGAACACGATATCAGCACAGATAAAATAGATCTTAAGGAGCAACCTTTGCTCTGTGATCTTACCACCAAAAACATCAGCACTGAACTTAAAGTTAAATAGATATGATATCTTTAATTATTCATCTTTCTTCTAAATAATACAAGTGATGCCCGTTCCAACCAGCGGAGAGATCCAGAGATCACAGTGAGTGAAAACAAGTCAAATCCACTTTCCTCCCTTTACTAGCAAAGATAATTTGTTATCTGAATACCTCTTCTCTTGAAGTTAATTTAATCATAGTTTTTATTTAAGAAAACTCAGTTTATTCTGATTCCCAATAGCTAGAACTCAGGACAAGTTTAAGCAGCTGCTGAGTTAGGAAGCTTGTGGATTCTTTAGAAAAGCTCTTTTGAGTAAATTTCTAGCTCTGTCAACCAGAAAAAGGAAAGTGTAATCACGTTTAAAAATCATTCCAAAAACGTCTAGCACAGATTCACACATTCCTAAACCAACCAAATGATAGATAGGTCATCCGTGAAGCACTTTGCCCTCATCTCTTGGAGGAATCTAAAACTGTTTCAAATCTCCACAGAAAACGATGCCCAGCCCAGAGGCACTAAACTCATCGCATCACTTATACAAGCCACAGACAGGGCAGCGCGACAGAGACGGAAGCAGAAGCTGAAGACATACCTTGGGAGCTGCTCTGTCCGCCAAGAGTCTCTCTCCCCAAAGAGCCTTCTTGTCTTTTCTCCCACTGGAGGAGGAAGAACTTTATAGCTGCAGCTAGCCTGGCCCCGCCTCCTCTGAGCATCTTTGAAGAAGAGGAATGAAAAAACCCACTGAAAGAAATTCCTTAGAGCCAGGACATGCAGGAGCAATTTTAGCAATTGAGTAAGGATCAGGGATGCTTAAGTGTTTTAAATGCTAAGAAGGTAATTATTAAATGCTAATAAGCTGATCATTTCCAGTTCCCACTCTTGACCTGCCCATAGTGTCACAGTATTAAATTATACTAAAATCTGATTTCTACAGTTAGTGGCACATTTTAAAAACCACGAATGAAATGAGAAATGCTCATTATGAAAAATAATGATGAGGTTAATTAATAGATTAAAAGTCTTGATTAAGATTAGGGAAAAAATCTTAAATGGAAGTGATTTAACCAATTGCTCTTTTGCAGACTTACAGACTTTCTCAACACCGTCATATATTCAGCCTCGGGCTGCCCAGGCAGGGCTTCAGTGTATCACAGAAGCTGGACTAGACCAGCTCTGCTAATTTACAGTTACTTCCATGTCCCCTTTACAGTCTGTCTGTGTGAAAACCCCACCAAGAAAGCCGTAAGAATGACCAGTGGACAGTTTCAGTACTAATGATGCACCACAAACATAATACCTTTGTTCTAACTGATGGTCCTCGAGCGCTGGCTATTATTCCTAGTTCGTACTTATACATGAAGTGTTGTCTCTGGACAAGTAGAAGAGGATAGTGTAATTTGAAGGGAGGCTGGGCAGATGGCCCAGTCAGTAAACTGCCTCACAAGCATGAAGACCTGACTTCAGTCTTCAACATCTACATAAAAGCCAGGTGCAGAGGTACACTTAGCAATCCCAGCACTGGAGAGGGAGAGACAGGAGGATCTTTAGGGATCGCTGTCTAACCAGTCTGACCAAATCAGTAAGAGACCCTGCCTACAGGGGAGAGACATTGAGGAAGACACCTAATGTCAACCTCTGGCTTCCATATGCACATACATACACATGCTCATGTACCTATAACACACATGTGTGTGCTCACATATGCATGCATACACACACACACACACACCAAGTCAATGGCATAGGAGGAGATACAAAGGTAAAGGGGTTCAATATTGGGCAGGTGAGTGTCTAGGAATACCATTGTGAAGACAGACATTTGAGCAAGGGCAGAAAGCAGGGCAGGAGCCCAGTGGGAATTCCCATAGAAGGTAACGTCAGGGGGAAAACTTCTCAACAAAGAAAGGCAAGAGATGCCTGCAGCTCAAACACCTCAAAGACAGACAGATAATGAGGGTGGAAGCCGTGGCCAAGGGCAATGGGGAGGAGGAAGGATATGGAAGCTGGAAATAATGGCTCCCTGTGTGAGTAAGGAGGTGTGTGAAAGGAGATCCTGCCAGAAACTGAAACAGGGAACCAAAGAAATCTCAGATCCTGGGACCACAACATCCTACCTCCCTACAATTTCCTTCCCTACCCTACGCCCTTACACCTGCACCTACAGGCACAGCCAGCAAACCCAGCCTTCTCTGACCTTAACCTGCAGCAGAGGCAGCAGGAATTTTCAGAAAGATAAAGGAATTAGAAAACAGAACTTAAAACTTGAATGGAAAAGCCAAACAAACTAGGAAGGACTAGGAACAAAGAGACGTATGCACTGAAATCTAACTGTGGGCTTCTGGGTGGAGAGAGACGCCGCATCTGCTAGAATGTCACAAGAGCCACTGAATATCCTGACTTGGAGCTGAGTTCACAAGGGTAGATTCAAAGCACGTGTTGCAAGTGATTGGAACATGTTACAACACAGTTGGTACAATTTCAACATGGGTTTTACAAATACTTAGAGGGGAAGAACCCTCAGGATAGGCTGAGGGGAACCCTAAGCGGGACTGGATGGTGTCAAGGCAATGAAGACTCAGAAGCTGGCCAGACTTAAAGCACCAGATAGGAGTCTCGGGTGCAATGTAATGAGTGACTCCCTGTCCGTCCTTAATGAGAGTAACAGAGGCACAGACATGGAGCATCAAAAGTAGGATGAGCTGGGGTGTTGACTCAAAGGGACAAGAGGATCTTGGGCAGCTGCTCTCCTTGAAGTATCTCAGTGCAAGGACTTGTATTCAAGGCTACAAATACCTCCCCTGAGATGCTGGGTTTAATCCCTGCTATTGTCTGACTTACAGTCCTCTAAATTCTTAAAATTGAAGGCCTGTTCCCCCTGCACCATCAAAGACTATTTGGAAGTATAGTGATTAGGGGGCAATGGTTGTGCTGGCAAAGTACTTGCTCTATAAACACGAAGACTCGAGTTTGGATTCCTAGCACCCACCCAAAATGCTGGACATGGCAGTGCTCATCTGTAACCCAGGGCTGCAAAGGAAGAGACCAGCAGATCCCTGGAGCTCACGAGACAGTCAGCCTCACTGAATCAGTGAGCTCCGGTTCAGTGAGGGACCATCTCCGAAAACAGAGTGTCAAGTGATGGAGGAAGACACCCAGTGTTGACTTTGGTCTCCACAAGCACGCAGGCTCATGTGCATACATGTACTCAGTCACATGAGCACAAGTATCCATCATACACACACACAACCCCCACCCCCAACACATAAAGAGGTGATTAGGGTAAAATGAGGCTATTAGGGTTGGGTCTTGATCTTTTTTTTTTTTCTTGAGATAGGGTCTCCGTGTAGCCCCAGCTGTCCTGGAACTCACTATGTAGACCAGGCTGGCCTTGAACTCACAGAGATCCGCCTGCCTCTGCCTCCTGAGTGCTGGGACTAAAGGCATGCACCACCACGCCTAGCTGGGTCTTGATCTTTTTAAGAAAAGAAGCTCTGGAGACTGGAGAGATGGCTCAGTGGTTAAGAGCACTGGCTGCTCTTGCAAAGGACACAGGTTCAGTTCCCAGAACCCACATGGTGGGTGATTCGACGCCCTCTTCTGACCTCTTCAGGCATTGCATGACACGAATGCACTTACATACATGCGGACAATACGCTCACACACATAAAATCAAAATAATCAAAAGAAAAGAGTTTGGGATGTAGACACACACACAGAGGAAGGACCTGTGAAGAGAAAGAAGATGGCTCTCTGCAAGCCGGAGGGAGACAGCTCAGTGGTACCTCCCAGAAACGCCTTGTCCTCGGACTGCCAACCTCCAGAAATGAGAGGGAAGAAGTGTCTGTGCCATCATAGATACCCAAGAGAGGCGAATCATTCTGACAGAAGCCGTAGCACCGGCCCCCACTGCCTCTTTAGCTCTGCCCAGGAAATCAGCTTCATCTGAGAGAGGAGAGAGAAGCATCAGGAGCAGCCAAGGGACCGGTCCTGCTGCGCACATGGTCACAGTGAAGCCAGGGTGGACTTTTCTCACTGACTGTCTGGTTCTTAAAGTCAAGTTCTTTCTTTATCTCATTCGTTTTTGTGCTTATTCCAATCTTTTATCAAAAACCAACAAAATATGATATGACCAGACCAAGTTCCATTCAAATATCATTAGCACATTCTGAAAGTCATCTGTGATGGAGCCTCACCATAACAGTCCTCAAGAGCCAGAAAGGGAGTGTTGGGGAGATGGCTCAGTCAGTAAAGCACTTACTTTACAGCACTAGGATTTCAGTTAAATCCCCAGAACTCACACAAAATCCAGGCACAGTGGCACGCACTTATAATTCCAGCACCAGAGAGGCAGAAACAAGCAGATCCCAGGGGCTCTCTGGCCAGTCAGCCTAACCTAATAAGCAAGTTCCAGGCCAGTAAGAGAATCTGTCTCAAACAAACAAGTTGGAATGACATGCAAGGTTGACCTCTGGCCTCCATATGCATGTGCGTACTCACACACGTGCCCCCCATGAACACACACGGACACACCCAAAAAAGAAAAATTTAAAAAACAAGAAGGGAAGTAAATTGAGTTATAAATACAGGCACGGTGGGCTGATTATGGGTGTGCTGCCTACGGGTTTGTCATTGTACCCAAAATCTGGCAAAATGCCCCAATTCATCTAATAAGGCAGAGATACTGTTTTTTTGTTTTAATGCTAAGTGGTTGCACTATCTTTTAAATGCCAGGAGGTGGTGGCAGTGAGCACAGCAAGTCCGGGAGAAGTATTCTATCCACCAGCATGTGCCAACCAGGCTTCACAGGTGAGCAATGATGTTGACATTGCTGGATGATCCGGCCGCTCCACTCACATGAGCACTGCCACTGGCATGCGTTCTGCAAAACTTGCTGACTCCAGCTCTCAGCTCTGCTTCCCTGATCTTTGTGCTATGAAAACACTTGTCAGAGCCAGATGAGTCAGAAGTGACTGGTAGTGCTGGTTGCACAGGACTCAACGCCACTGAGATGTGCACTGAAAATGTTCCAGTTGGAAAATACCACATGTTATGGTTTGAATCTTAAAGGATCATGCTCCTAACACATTCTCCAGCTGGTAGTGCTAGTTTGATGGTGCATAGTTCCCTAAGCTGTGGCTCTATCAGGAGGTGGGGCCCAGCTAAGTAGCTCACTAGGGGTGCTTTGAAGGCTATAGCTTAGCCCCTAATTCCAGCCACTCTTTGCTTCCCAGTCCACCAGATGCGAATAGTCGCTGCCACATGCCCTACCACTGCACACTAAGCCACTCTGCCGTGCCATGCCCGTTACGCTCTAGTGGACCACAATGCTCTGAAACCATGAGCCAAAATAAATCGTTCTTCCCATAAGTTGTTTTTGTCCAGTATCTTGTCACAGCAGGACAGAAATAACTGACATGTTGTGTATATTTTACTTCAATGAAAAACATTTAAAATATTGAGTATGGTGGTTTAAATGAGAATGTCCCCCACAGGCTCCAAGTATTCAGACATTTTTGTCCCCAGTTGGCGGTGCTGTTCTGGGAGGTCTTAGAAGGTGTGGCCATGCTGGAGGAAGCACATCACTGGGGGCGGCTTAGAGAGTTCTTAAGCCTTGCTGATCTC